TATATATATATATATGTCTTCTTGAAAGAACTTGTGGTAAATATTTTGTAATGAGACGTTTCTTGGTTTGGAGCGCCACCAAATGTTCAGTTTCAGTATTACATCACTTCCAACCTACTTCACCTGATGGAGATGGGATTGACTATACGATATAAGGCACAAGGCCCTTAAAACACTGATAATAAAATTCCTGCAAAAACACACCAGATGTTTTTAAAACTGTAAAAAATTTATGAAATGAACAGAAGAGCTATATTAAGAGGCTTACAATTACTTTGTCTGACAGTGACAACCTCAAAGCTGTTAGCTTAAAAAACATCTTGCCAGAATTTGATTTTAGGAGGAAAAAAAAACAACTAAAAAAAAACAACTGAGTTTAGCTTTGTGCATTATAAAGGCAACTTTAAACTGTCACTTCTTACCGACTGGTTATTGTGGAGTTTTATGAAGAAGAGACCAGAGATAATGGCTGGTCCTTCATTTTTGATGACATCTGAGCACACTCAATATTTGAAGTCACGAAGCTCATTATATCTTTCTCAGAGCTCAGATTTAAACAGAAAAACCACTAAGATCCTGGAGTACATCAGAAGGAAAGCCCCCGATGATGAACTAATGAGTGAATGTCTTCAGACAGCAGCTGAAACCCAATGCTGAAGAGCAGGAGCCATCATGAAACAATAAGCCTCTGCACAGCAGACTGAGGAAGTGGCTGATATAAATAAATCCTACCAGTAGAGACTGGGACTAAAGGACAGCAAAGAGGCACTAATCAAGGCAGCACAAAAGCAATAGAGGCTGGGGTCTACCATACCAGACAAGACCCAAGATTCAGGCTGTGCAAAGATGCCCCTGAGACAGTCCAACACATAATAGAAGGACTTAAGATTCAGGCAGGCAAAACATACATGGAACGCCATGACCAAGTGGCTGAAATATAATACTGGAACATCTATGTGGACCTGTATGGACTGAAGGTCTCACAGTCAAAGTGGGAGACGCCACCAAGAGTGGTGGACAATGGAAGAGCTAAGATATCGTGGTAGTTCCAGATCCAGACCATCATACAGGTGACGGCTAACCAACCAGACACTGTGGTGGTCGACAAGCAAGAGAAGAAGGCAGTGGTGATAGACGTAGCAATCCCAAGAGACTGCAAACATCAGGAAGACGGAGCACGAGAAATAAAGGTGTGAAAGATTAAATACGGAAGCTGTGGAGAGTCAAAGTGTCAGTAGTTCCAGTGGTCATTGGAGCAGTTGGTGTTGTGACCCCTCAACTAGAAGAGTGGCCCCAACAGATCACAGGAACAACCTCAAGAGATCTCTGTCCAGAAGAGAGCAGTCCTAAGAACAGAACCCTCAAACTCCCAGTACTCTGGCAGAGGACCAGTCAAATCTCAGAGGTCAAAGGTAAAGAAAAAAAAAAAACGTTTTAATTATTTAATAGAAAATTAGCAGGTGGTCTGAAAATGATTGGACAGAAAAACAACTTTGAAAAACCTTCAAAAATATTATTTGGCCTCAATATTGCAATTTTTTTTAAGAACATGAATGTAAGCAATCTACAATACATTGAGACCTAACTTTATAAATCCATTTAAGCTCTGATAAACTTTTTCTTTACGGGTGTCCCTGAACATTTTCGGCTGCTCATTAGAATTGTATAAACAAAGGAAAACTAAAAAGGAAAAAAAAAAAATCAGAGAAAAATGATCAGACCAGCACAAATGTTTGATTAAACATAAGACACAAAAATACGCCAACAATTTATTTTAGAATAATAAATCATTTAAAGCCATTTTACTCAACTTTCATGTTTAATTCACCCATATTGGTCAGAAAAAACAACAACAAAAAGTCCAAGAAATTAGGAAGAACGTTAAATTTCTCATTCATTATTCATTAAAGATGTTTCTCACTTCAAACATAAAAATAAACCCACTTAATGTTACCAGTTTCTCATCTAACTTGAGATAAATGACAAAAACAACTCAAGAGTCTGCTGAAATATCACCATTTCTGAGCATTTCCGTGTACAACGCATGTCAGATTTAAATATTTGAATATTTTAATTGTGAAAACAGAAAGCTGCTATGGTGTGAGCTGATTTATGCTCAGAAGGCCCTGAACAGCTGGTTTGGCAGGTATCCCAGATGAAGGAAAGATGTCTGGGCTTCTCTCTCCAAAATGGCCAACTCCTGGACTGTCGGGGCCAGAACATCCACGTGACCCTTATAGTTTCCACCTGGACAGGGAAAACAAGTTTGATGATAAACATAAACTCAACGAGTAAAAGGATCTGTTACAGCCAGACACACAGATCCAGGTACCTCCCAAAGCTCTGCGTTGTCCATAGGTCACCTTTCCGTCAAACTCATCCAGGGGTATTTTGATATCTGGCTCACACTGGGTGATGGTGCATTTCAGATGCTCCTCAATCTCTGACAGGAGCTGACGGAGAGGAGAGAAAAAGAAGAAATGAAAACATATGAAACATTTCTGACAAGATGACAAATCAACCTGCTGCTTTTTAAACCTTTTGCAAATCTCTCCTCGGAAAAAGAGGTGGCATTTTATTTCTAAAAGCACTTTTAACTCGTTGTCTAGGTTTATGTCTGTTCACCTCTTTCTCGTTGTACCAGATGGTGCACCCTCCGTCCTCCTTCAGCTGGGTGTTGTAGCAGCCTCTGCCTCGGTTTGGGCAAACATGGTACCACACCTAAACACACAGGAGGATGCACTTACTGTACAAACATACTAATAAAACAGCAAAAAAAAAAAAGTAAAATAAAAACAGAGTCCCTCTGGATTACCTTCTCTTTTTCCATTGCAACCAGGGAGATGGCAAGTCCCATTCTGTGAATTAAAATGGCCAAATAAATTAATAAATCAATCAACTTAAACAGAAAGTCACGTTTTGTTTAAAATAGTTTGTCAAAATTTGATATGAAATTAAGCTAAATGTATTACTATATTCTCCAGACTATAAGTCACTCTTTATTCATAGTTTGGCCGATCCTGAGACTTATAGTCCGAAGTGACTTATATACGTTTTTTCCTATTCATGACAAAATTTTTGACTGATGCGTTAAATGTTCATTCATTCGGACATGAACCAAAGCGTAAACATTACCATTTGCAGATGCGAGAGGGCCCTCTAGGCTTTTGACAACTATATGTTATTCCTCTTCTGCCCCCCACCCCCATCCTCCGGAGTTGGTGGCATTGCTCAGAAGCGACACTGAGGATGGTAAATTGCTTGTCGGATTTATTATGTTAATTAAGCCTGTTCAGAATCCCAGGTATGTTCTGTGTACGCGCCATGCGAACATATAACGTATACCGTTGGGAGTGCGAGTCCACGGGGGTGGGCGCACAACTGTGACAGACACAGACTCAGAAAAGGAAGGGAGGGTGCGGGGGTGGGCTATCTTTCCCCATCGCTACAGTGCAGCTTCAGTGAGACATGAGTGAGACTGGGCAAGAGCGGTTTGTTTATTTAAAATAATAAAAGCACAACACGAACCGAACATTTAGTCCAGTCCCTCAGCGAGCACTGAGCGGGCCAGGTCACCAGGAAATGTCCTGGCACTGTGTGTTGTTATTTATTATTAATTATTATTATATTATATGTTATTTATTTTATTGTTATTGTTATAGAGCTGCTGTTGTTTTGGCACATTGTTTTTGGACCATTAGTGCTTAGTGTATTCTTAGTCTTGTGTACTCTTAGTTTAGTGAATGTAGTATATTCTTAGTTCATGACTCGGATCTTACTAATGTTTTTCTTTACAATTTGTGTTTTTGTTGGATGTAACTTGGACCCTGTGTACATAGTTAGTCCCACCTCATGTATCACGTGTGGCGTGTATGACAAATAAATCTCTCTGACTCTGATTTCAGATTAAATGTCTGTTCTTGCACTTTGTGAAATACACTTCTAAATAAATGCGACTTATACTCTGAAGCGACTTATATATGCTTTTTCCTCTTCACGAGGCATTTTTTTGACTGATGCGACCTATCCGGAGCGACATATAATCCAGAAAATATACAGTAATTCAACTGAAAAAACCCCCAAAAACAACAAAAAAAAAAAAAAACAGAACCTCTTAAAAAGAGCTCCTTAGGGGCTGATTTCTGTTGGTTGTACTGATCAGTGGAATAATAGAAGTTTTCATTAACAGAAGAGAAGAAGTTGTCTGAGTCGATTTCACACTCCAAATCCTGTATTAAAATATTTTCAGTTCCAGTTGATCATATCCAGCAAAAAAAAAAAAAAAAAAATAAAATTCCCATTGAGTTTATGCTACGTAAGGTAAAAAAAACAATAACAAAAAATGAAAAATTAATTCATTTCACAAGTTTTTTCCTCTTTGCACTGATGCTTACCTTTCAGCTCGTCCGACTCTGCCGATACGATGGACATAATTCTGCTTCTCGTCTGGCAGGGTGACGTTAATCACTGTGATGGGTGGGAGGGGGCAGAAAGTGGTGAGAAATGATGGAAAAAGTACAACGTGAATGAAATTCAACGCTGGGTAATTTACCGAAGGGAACTCCGTGAATGTCGATCCCTCTGGCTGCTACATCTGTGCAGATCAGCAACTTCACTTCCTTTCTCTGAGAACACAAAGACACTTTTTAATTGGTTACTAACTGGTTGAAATCGCCAAACAACACCAGAAAGTTGTTTATTTATTTAATTTTTTTTTCACCTTGAAGCGCTCCAAGTTATTTTTCCTCTCGTTGGGCTTCCGATCTCCATGAAGACAAACACAGGAAAACTGGTGACCTTTACTGTCTGGACCTGGAGAAAAATCACAAAACTATTCAAGATTTGTCAGGAGGGGGAAAAAAAAAAATCAAACAAGTTTGTGCTCATTCTGTGGAGGCTAAAAACAAAAACTAAACGCTGGCAGAAAGAGCTCACCTCCTCCTTGCTGGATGAAGTATTGCTCCATGTTGTCGCAGTCAATCTTGGTGCGACAGAAGATTATAGCCTGGTCCATTTTGTGTTCTTTAATGGCTCGGACTGCGTACTCGCCCTTCAGCACCTTGATGGCTTCTGACCACATTTCTACAACAAACAGGTATAACCGTAAGGTTAAATAAATCTGTACTGTAGTTTAAGTGATGTGTATAGTGATTGGAGTAGCTGGGGGATCAAACTGAAGAATATATTTCCTGCTTCGAATCAAGAGATCAAACCAAACAGCACCTGGAGAGTTGGCTCCTGGCCTGGTGTTATCTTTGGCATGAACTTCATCAGTCTGAGACAAATCAAAGATTAAATGCTCTGTCAATAACATTCAGAACAGAAAGAAACAACAAGCTATGAAGTTTAGAAACAGGTTAGATTCCCACTTTTAATTCCTCGGCTTAGCACGGTGGACTCACCCTGATGCGGTTTTTGCCGAGGCGCTCCCACAGACGGTCGCTCTTCGGATTAACGGGTACCACCACGTGGTGGACGGTCTCGGGAACTGAGTCCTCCCCTTTCAGGTCCACCCAAGTGGGAAAGTGCATGATGCGCTCAGACAGCTTCTTCACATCAAATGAGTGCAGTGTGGCCGAACAAACGATAACCTAATAAATAAATAAAGTGTTAACACTCTGCACGATTTCACCTGTGGTTTGCTTTATTTATGATAAATCTTTAAATGAGGTATATTGTTTCAATGACCTTACCTGAAGCCTCTTGCCATCAGATGTGACCTGAGGGATTTGTTTGTGAATCCTGTTGATAAAATCTGTGTAGCCTGCTGATAGGAGTCCATCCTGAGGACACAAACGACAACAACAATTGCAATGTAGAACAAATGTTTAGTCCTTTTCAAGCAACAAAGGCTTTTTTTTTTTTTTTAAGTATAAAAGGTATTCAAATGCTGCAGGATGTTTCACGTACACACTCGTCCAGGACCAGAAAGCGGACTTGGGACAGACTGAGTTTCCCAGTAGATATGAGATCATCCAGTCTGCCTGGTGTTCCCACCACAATGTCAACCTGGTTTAAGAAAGGCAACAAAGCAAAAACAAGTCCTTTAGTTCATTTGAAAGTTTCTTAATAATTCAAACCAAGCAAGTGTTTGTTTAGAGACTGTTCATGGCGCATACCCCCTGTTCCAGAACTGCTAGCTGCTCTTTGGCAGCCACACCACCAATCACCAGAAGTTCCCTGTAGTGACAGATGGACACATTTTTATACATGTTGACTAGAAATATTTGTCACGATAGACTGGCTCCATCTGCTGGTAGCAATTTGTTACAAACAGAAATACAATTGTTTAATTTCAACAGAATACAACTTGCGAAAATAAATACATTTTCTGTATGAGTCATGGCATCGGGTTGTGCCGTCCAACTATGGGTACCCCCTCTGTGGAGACTTACCGTAATTTGGGATTATCCACAAATTTCTTAAACTGCTTGACATTGTTGAAGGTTTGCTCTGCCAATTCTTTAGAAGGCTCAATGATCAGGGCTTTGGGAGCGTTTGATGAAGCTTTCGCTTGACTCACTTTGGCACTGCCTGCACATTAGAGAACAAAAACATTTAGCAAATGCATAAACAACTACAATGTAGCAACTGCATCTTAGTTCAAACCAACAACAACAAAAAAACTTTTATTATAAAAGAAATCATAACAAATCTCAATCCAAACTATAAACTTGGAATTCCTTCTTCTCGTTTTGATCTATCAGCTTGCAGCACTTTAAGGTTAAACACACACACTCACCTGTTTGAGAAGATTTGACTGTGTGACTCTCTGGTGCCTGATCCAGGGCGACAAACCCACCCTTAGGGGGGTGTTTGAAATCTTCTCCTCCGAAGTTGAACTTCAGCTCAGCATTCTAGCAGGCAGATGAGATAGTTTTGTACAAAGTCATACTAAGATTGTATCAGTAGGTTTGTCTTCTTCTATTTATTGGTAGAAATGTATTCTTTGTTGATACCTTGAGAACGCAAGAGGCAAAGAAAGCCTGGCTCCTCATATTCTGAGGAATATCAAAAGCCAAACCCAATTCATTCCCTAAGAAGAGGAAAAAAACAAACAAAATGATACTAACGAGAGTTGTAATTTCTTCCAACTCTAGGTATGTTACTATTAATAATCATCTATTAGTTTCAACAATTTAGTCTGCACCATTTTTTGAGAAGGAAATCTGGCTCTTGTCTAGATCCAGATAGCATCCGATAGTGTCATGCATGGTAAACTCCTGCAAAGAGAAAATATAGCAAAGCCTGAAAACGACCATCAAATACTGTTCATGAATCCTAATAACGTAGTTACTAATTCTTACCTCTCCATAGCTATCAAACTGCTTGTTGTTGGACTTCTTTCCAGTTCCACCAAAACCAAAGCCATACTTATCAGTTCCTGAAAATAAATTAAAGAGTTACTGACCGAGTTACGGTTTAACTGAGGAAACAAATTTTTCAGCTGTTTTGTGTTCTGCCCTATGGAAATACTGTAGTGCATACCTAAATCCAGAGCTGCTTGACTGGTGGACCAGCCCACTCGGCATAGACCCTGGTCGTGGCAGGTTACCTCATAGTAGTACTTTCCTACATATTGAAAACAGAAACAAGAACAAGACTTTCAACCCCAATAATGAATGAAATGTAGAATCTTAATTAAGATGTTTTGGTAAAAAGTCTCTTTTTCAGGTAGGTTTGTTTTACACACCTTTTGTGACACCTTTAGTGGTGCGGCACCCATGCCACTCTTTAAACTCTCTGCTCTGGCAACACAGTCCGTCAGGTCCGATAGCTATGCAGACATGCAAAAAAAGAGGCATTGAATAATTGTTGCAATGCTGGAATCTGACAGTGTTTCTACTATAAGAGGTCCAACTGCATTCTAGTACTACTGATTTATTTCAAGTTCATCTTACCAAATGCTGAGCTACGGTCATATGGGTTCATCTGCCAGGTGTTGAAAACTGAGACAAAACAAATAATATGAGCAAGTCAAACATCTGGACTGCACACAGAGAAAGATTTTCTTCGTAAGTGCTTGAAAACAAAGTACAATGCTTTTTCACCAAATGTAAAATTTGTCATGTAGTTTGCCACGATGCAACTCAATATTTTATTTATTTATTAACCTTTATTTAACCAGGAAATTCCAGAGATCACAGATCTCCTTTGCAAGGGAGGCCTGAGCCTGAAGGCAACTTAACATGCATGTTTGGACTGTGGGAGGAAACTGGAGAAACCGGGAAAAACCCAAGTAAACATAAGAAAAACATGCAAACTCCACACAGAAAGACCCCCAGGTGTTAACCCATGAATCGAACCCAGGACCTTGTTGCTGTGAGGCAACAGTGCTAAACACTAAGCCATCATGCTGCCAAATATTAATGATGATCTCACCAGTTCCTCCTGTTTTGACCAAGGCTCTGCCCTTCTTGCCTTCCTGCTGGTCCTTCAGAGTCTCATACACAATCTGGATCACTGGGATACTGAAGGCCTGACGATCAAACAATTACTACAACAGTTACTAAACAGTAACTCTTACACCATAAACCTCTACCGCACAGTTTGATCTTCTGGCATCCACCGTTTGCCTCACAATACAAGTTTACTATTATATTTCCAAGATGAATGACTTTACTTACTCCTGTTTTGCCACTTCCAGTTTCAGCAGCCTTAAAGAGAAAACAATCAGGTATGTATTGTGCAGTTATGTACATAAAAAGATACAATGCAAGGGGTTAAGCTTACCATCAGTACATCACCTCCACCAAGAATCAGGGGGATTGATTCTGCCTGGATGTCAGTAGGTAGTCTAAGGTTCAAATATCCAAATAATAAGTAATTAACTTGATGTTAAACTTTCAAACAAGTAACAACAAAATGTCACGACGCATGTCATGATTTAGCAGATTAACTTACAGCCAGTCCATCTCCTCCACAGCCTGCGCTATCTCAGGCATTACTCCCATTTCTGTTTAAAGACACGTTTAGTGTTTCATTGTGCATAATAAATATTATGAACAGATAATATTTAACAAATTAGCAGGTCAAACAATTTAAAAGTCTACCGCTAAAATAATAAAATCACTGTAAACTTCTCACCAGAAAACGCTGCCATTTTTGATGCTATGAAGGCTACGAAGACAATTCAACCGGATGTGACGTATTCAGAATGCGCACTGAGTGCAACTCGTTTAACGGAGTGTCGTGCAGACTTTAAAACAGTAGTTCCGCACGAAAATCTACTTTTAAAATAAGCTAATCTCACAATATTTTATTTCTAAAAACAAGAAACTAAAATAATTATATATATAAGTTACAATATATTTTAATATGCAAATATAAGCACGAAATTCATTAATAGCTTGTTGGCGACACATTTCTTATTCGTATATTTTGCCCCTCGCCAAGCGCCGTAGAATTCTGACAGCTTGCGAGCGTAATCATGGCTGAAGGAAGCTCAGTAGAAGGCGAAGATGAAAATATTTTGTACGATTTACTTGTTATTACTGAATGGCCGCCAGAAACTGACACTCAGGTTAGTTTTATAAAACTTATGTTTATTTTTAGTCAATTGCATATGCCTCATTTTGAACATTATGGACTCAGAAAGTAAAGTATCCACAGTTGGGAACGATCAGCGGCGGAAAGCCACGTAGCAGAAATTTGTGATCATCGTATTTGTTTTTAATATAAGCAAATACTTAATATACTTGCATCATTTTATAGAGCAATACTGGATATATATCTACTCCAAATGAGTGGTCATACACTTATTCTGCTTTTTATCGAAAGTTGAATTAAGTCAATGTTTTGCCTCAACCTAAAATTTAACTTTAAGGAGATCAAACCGTTCTTTATCAGCATACCATACCATACCACTTTATTTATAAAGCACTTAAAACAGCTACAAGGCTAACCAAAGTGCTTTACAGACAGAACAACAGGTAACACACAAAGCAATATACAAAATGAGGTAAATCAGAATATAGACATAAAAACGATGCAGATAATGACGACAAACCAGTGTAGAGCATACAGGTTCAAAACACAGATCAGGTGGTGTTGAAAGCTACTGAATAATAGTAAGTTTTTAAACGGGACTTGAAAACCGAGAGGGAGGGGGCCTGTCTGACAAGCAGAGGTAACTCGTTCCAAAGTCTTGGTCCTGCTACAGAGAAAGCCCTGTCACCTCTGCGCTTAAGACGAGTTCCTGGAACTGTGAGGAGCAACTGGTCCGCTGACCTCAGGGAGCGTGGTGGGACATACAGTTGTAGCAGGTCAGAGAGATGGGGGGGGATGTTCAGCGATTTGTAGACATACAGAAGTATTTTGAACTGGATTCGAAAGTGAACCGGTAACCAGTGCAGTGAGGCCAAAACTGGTGTAATGTGCTCTCTTTTGCCTGTACTGGTTAAAAATCGGGCTGCTGCATTCTGGACCAGTTGTAGTTGTGCAATGGAGGTCTGACTGATACCAAACAGGAGCGAATTGCAGTAATCAGGCCTAGATGTAATGAATGCATGTATTTCTGTCTCCAGGTTATTTTTGGACACTATGGGCTTCAGTTTAGACAGCCGCCTCAGTTGGAAGAAACATGATTTAACAATCATGTTTACATGATTGTTAAGTTTCAGGGAAAGGTCCATTATCACGCCCAGATTAGTGACTCTTTGTTTTTCTGACAGGGTTAGAGCGGAGAGGTCGATGCAGTGGTTTGTGATTGTGTCGTTGGGAGGGAACAACATGACTTCAGACTTCTTTTCATTGAAACTTAAGACATTAAAAGCCATTCAGTCCCTGATGTCAGCCAGGCAGTCGAGCAGCGGTTGAATAGAGTATGTACCATTGTGTCTTAGGGGGAAGTAAATTTGACAGTCATCCGCATAGAAGTGAAAGGGCATGTTGTGTTTCCGGAAAATAACACCAAGTGGCAGCAGGTATAAAGAGAATAGGAGGGGACCCAGTATGGACCCCTGCGGATCCCTCCATTTAAGCTCTGCCGCTGCAGAACTAAAATCCTTGATGGAGACACAAAAGGATCTGTCAGTGGGGTAAGATCTGAACCAATTGAGGGCTGATCCTGTGACGCCCACCCACTGCTCCAACCTAGCAATGAGGATCTCATGGTCGATGGTGTCAAAGGCGGCTGTGAGGTCCAGTAGGACAAGCAGCACAGAATCACCGGTATCTGTGAATCTGAAGATGTCGTTAAAAACCTTCAGCAGGGCAGTTTCAGTGCTGTGGAGAGGTTTAAAGCCAGATTGGAAAAGCTCTAAGATGGCGTGACCCTCCAGGAAGCACTTCAACTGGGACTCGACTATTTTCTCCAGTAGTTTAGAAACAAATGGGAGTTTGGAGACAGGCCGGAAGTTGGATACGACTGAGGGGTCAAGGTTTGGTTTTTTCAGGAAAGGCTGGACAGCAGCATGTTTAAAGGATTTTGGCACCATGCCAGTGGATAAACTACTGTTTACTATATCAAGAATGGACGGACCTAGAGTTGGAAACGCCTCCTTTAGTAGTCGAGGGGGGACCACATCAAAGGGGGAACCAGAAGGTTTCAAGCTGCACATGACCTGCTCTACACAAGATAGAGTGATGGGTTCAAAATGGTCAAATAGAGCTACAGATTGAGGTGGGATGGATGGGTCATGAGTTGGAGGGGAAATGAGAGCCCTGGTGGTCGCAATTTTTTCCAAAAAGAAATGTAGGAAGTTGTCGCACAGCTCAGTCGAGGCTTCCAGAAATGCACTGATTGATCATTTTGTTTACATATTCATAACAGTAAATTGAAAGCATGTTAACGAGTTGTGTTCTTTAAATAAAATAACGTGAATAATTAACTATTTAATTATTATTCTAATTCCAGTTACGGGGCAACAAGGAGCACAACAGCTCTCTGATAGCAAAAGCTGTGATAGGTAAGTCCTGCTTTTTGTTAACTAAATTATAATATTTTACTTTAGCACCAAATATTGACCTTATTAAGTACCATGTTTTCAAGTTTTCATACTGTGGTAACGTTAGTTCGCGGTAGTTTTCATTACGTTTAGTGTAAATTCACTCACGAGGACTGCAATTGGTATAACTCCTTGTAGTTCTTCAGGAACTACAGAGCTGAAGTTTATTATCTGGAATGACTGAACTTTATTTTCTTTGTTTTCAGGGTTTGTCAACATCTACATGCATTTATAAAATGAAGGCTAGTTAAATACACATTTATCTTGCAGACAACTCCTCACTCAAATTATGTACTCCTCAAAAACTTGATTTTTTATTACAGTCAATGCAAAATTGCATTGATGAATTGATTTAAATAAAATAGGAAAACATGTACATCTAAGATGCAGTACCTGGCAATGGCTTCGTGTAGAAATAAAAGTAGAGATCTGGGAAGGTATTCTACAACCAGGGAGGTGTTAGTTTTCTTAGATAATTAAAGAGTAATTTGACTCCAGTTGTGCCATAATTCTTACTAACGCTGATTAATTTCCTACAGACCCATTCCGATTACTGCTTTACAATCGTTGGTATAGGTAAGTTTCTTTTGTTTTGCTAACCAGTATAGATAACTGGACTAACTTGCAGATGGCTTTATGCTCTATTCCAGTTTTTTTTTTAACCCCATACAAAAATCAAAAGTTATTTGTTTTGTTTGTACAAAACATCTGATTTTTAGCATCCTGATGATTTTTCGTTTTCATACATTAGCTGTATATGTCTTATTGTTTTTTTTTTATGAACACTGTCAAAAATCCACAGGGAAACCTAATCTGAGAAGCAATGAATGTTAAAACTAATGGATACTCTAAAGCAGGGGTGTCCAATCCTGGTCCCTGCAGCCCATTATCCTGCATATTTTAGATGTTTCTCTGCTTCAGCACACTGGCTGTAAATGAATGAGTGATTAATAGGCTTCTGCAATACTTGAAGACCTGCTGAAGAGCAGGGAAACAACTGCAACATGCAGGATGTGGGCTATCAAGGACCAGGATTGAGGATCACTCCTCTAGAGTGAAAACACATGCCCTGTTTAGTCATGTTAGAAAAATCACTTTTCATGAGGGAATAAATAATTTGCTTCTGTTGTGAATTTAGATCCAAACTCAGAACTCTTAACTTAAGGTCTCATTGAGAATGAGACCTCTTGTCTCAAGATGGCTTGCATAAACAAAGCTGAAATAAACAAAATAACAACAACAACAAAAGAATAAAGGCTGTTTTTACAATATTTAGTCACAAGTCCCCCTTATAAGTATGAATATTTAATTTCTAAGACCTGCAGTGGATATGAATAAAAATCTGTCTTTTATTCTTGTTGCACACTGTCTTCTAACTGAACACTTTAACACATGCCTGAATCTTTCAAACAGTGAATTATTTCTGCTTTGGCCTCTAGGCCTTTTAGCTTCACTGCAGGAGGTTAATTTGCTACATCAATACCTCTAAATATTTAAGGAGTCCTTTATCCATGTAAGTTTCTGTTATTTAAAGAAAGAATAAGGAGTTTTACCTAATATTCTCTGTTGCCCTACTGTTATTGTGCACAAAGTCGTTGTCGTTTTGTAGCTAACTTTAGCTAGATTTAAATATAAGTTTAAAACTGCCTTAAAATTAAAGACCCATCTTTCCTTAAAGGAATGCACATTGCCTGTTGGGTTTCATGCCAAAGTTTTAAACTGAGATTATCTTATGTTGAGAAGTGACAGACTTGAAGCTGTTTTAGTCAAACGTTTTGCTCAGTATCATGCAATATTACAAGACATCCCATAATCCATTAGTAATTGCTTTATGTGTTGAAGATGACTCTAAGCTCCCACCACAGCAAATCTGAGCTCCAAACATCTCTAAGTTAAAGCCACATTTTTACACCAAGGTCAATTAGCTGTGGCAGCCATTTTGAATTAGTTTGACTCTTAGATAGATGATACCAGTCAACCAAGTGTTTCCAACGTCCCTTGTTGTTGGAAGCAGGAAATATTTCATTCTGAAAGTTTCATCAAAACCCATCCAGAGATAATTTTTCCAGTTTTACAGACAAATTAACCTGCACAAACACAGACAAAAACATTATCCCCTTCGCCTTTTGGTAGCAGACATTATTAAGAAACACTGAAACTACAACAATACTTTTAAAAAGCAGCTGAAGACACATTT